GTCTCGCCCCCTCCCTTGCCTCCTTCAAGACCCATCTCAAGACCCTCCTCATCGACGTGCTTTCAATCTCCCTGCTTCCCCCCCTGTTCTCTACCCTCTCCGACCCCCAGCTCAGGTCTGAAACTCTGTCTGTCCAGCGCCTTGGGACGTCCTCCCGACGTGAAAGGCGCTATACAAATGTAATTTTGTTGTTGTTGTTGTTTATATGGATAACCCTGATTCCTGACTATATTGTTTTTATGTGAGTTTCAAGCTTTGAATTGGCCCAAGCAAATTCCTACCTACAAACAAGAAAATAACTGTGTATGCATGTTGTTTGTGAAATATTCCTATTAATCATAGTCTCAGCTTGTGCAATATCTCTTTGAGCTTGCAGAGTGGCGTTCTGTCTCAAATTTAAGGGGTTTGTTGCAGGGGACACCACTTGGAAATAACAGGTTTTTACTTTTGTGTTTTTGTAAAGGCCACTTGAAGTAAAGGTAGGGGAGTTGCTGGTTTTATTCTTGCTGTTTTATAAGCTTGAATGATTTGTATTCTGATTAAGATTCACACTTGATATGTTGTTTTTTTTTTGTGTTTTAGGTGAAAATTTTTGATTTTTTAACAAATATTTTCCCAGAAGTCTACCCCTACTCCACTAATTGGGATGACTTATAGTAACCCATATGAATCAGGAGCTCCCTGTGTAAGAATTGCAATAATAATAATAATTGTTGCATCTCAAAGTGCTTCACAGAATATACTGTAAAGTGAATTGACTGTATCACGTGGGTGAAACATGGCAGCCAATTGCGCACAACAGTGATCCACATACAGCAGTGTCCCATTAACAGCCATGGATTGAGTGACTAAATTATTTTTTTGAAGGGATTATTATCCCCGAAAAAGCATTCTGCCAATTGAATAACAACCGGTTCCTGCTTACTGCTCGGTAAACAGCGGCGTGTGGAGTAACAAAACTTGCCCAACATTTCGCCCTGCTGGGAATCAAACCCAGGTCCTCTTGCTTGCGAGCCGAGTGCTCGAACCACTAAGCTGCAGGACTCCAGAATGCATCTCCACTGCAGGCGCATCTCCACATCCATGCTTCTCCAACCTTTCCCCATTTAATTTTCTGCTCACAGCATGTGTGATCAAGCTAGGATTTAGAAATTTCAGTATAGTCTTGGTAAGAGTGAAACTCTTACTTTGCAGCAAAATATGAAGTGATCTTGATGCAATGATAGTGGAAAATTAGCACTAAATTAACACTCCAGTGTTGCCACATCTGATTTTTGGTATTCCAGTACTACGCAGTGTGCTCCTTTGTATTATGTATGCTAGGAAAGAAGAGACATTTGAGAGCAGACTCATAAAATGTGCTATGTGGCAAGTAAATGAAAGATTGGTGCATTGAAGATTAGTTTGCAAAGGCAAAGGTAGTATGTAAGGTATTATGAAATTCATTCCCAGAACCTGGGACATTTTCCCAATTCATATTTTCTTTGGATGACCTCTGCATTTAAGTAATATATGTTGGAATAAGAAACTATACAAATGAGAGGTTGTCCATTAAATAAGGTGTTAGGAGAAAAGGACTTGTGTGTGATTACTGATCATTTACTGAAGATGATACAGATTTGGGGGCCTGGGAGGAGAAAGAACGTTGTCTCTGGAGGGAGGGAGGGAGGGAGGGAGGGAGACTTACAATGATTTATATCAGATAATTCAGAACAAACCCCTCTTTAGGAGGGATGTCAAGGCGCTAGAGGGGGTGCAGGGGAGATTTACTAGGATGTTACCAGGGACTGAGAAACTGGAACTTCACTGGAAAAAAGACAATTGAGGGATGACCTGAAAAAGATATACTCTCTTGGTCTTCCAGAGAGAATTATTCAGATTGTTTAAGTGATCTACTGTATTCTGCATGCCTATTTAATCTGGTTCCCTAGTGGCAGGTCACCCACCGTCAGAATCAATCTGGATCCAGATATGTTGGAATGGTGTTACTACTTCACAGAATATGAATTTAATTCAATCTGACCATTAGCTGTTCCCATGATTTTTTGGGGACAGCCTTGTGTCAGACACATGCAGAGACCAATCACCATGCATAAGAGTATCCATACCAAACTGAGATTTCCATGCATCCGACCTCCACGCGGAAATTCCAGAGATAATCCCATAAAAAAGTGCTGAAAGGTGATCAGAAACAATAATGGCAGTTCTTCTGTGGGCTATATATCAAAATTGGGGGGCAAAGGGGATTCACATTTGAAATTAATTGATAATTATAGACAAAAAATGCCATGTTTGACAAATTTTTAATAATTAGCATATTGACTAACCTATGAAACATTACATTTATTACACTATAATGTAAATCCTTGCCTCAGCTTGGCAATTCTCAAAATTGAAAGGGCTTTCATGTAGAGGTAGACTCAAAACTCATAAAAGCAGCACATAAATTTACCAGACAGACGAACATATGGCCTTACCAGGAGCAGCACCACCTACCACAGGAAGGCTATAGACTGGCAAATGCTCTACCATTATTATCAGAATTATAGAAACACACGTGTAAACCAAGATCACAAAGCAATTAGAAGCATTTTAAAAATCAAGCTGTTTCAAATAATTATTACATTCTTTACTTTTCTGCCTGCTTGACAAATCATGTTTGTTTAGTAAGTTTTAATAGCATCATCAGTGGGAAATGGCTAAGAGGAGTAAACTGAACCAGGTGTTGTTCATTACTCACAGACATCTGCATGCAATTTTATATTAACTCCTAAGATTTAAGTATGAAGTAAAACAATTTTTATTCCAATGGCACATCACTTATTGATATATTTTGCTGAATCAATTAATACTGCTTTAGCTTAAAAAAGAGTAATGCAAAACAATCATTTAAAAATGGTTCAGACAAGATGGGCTGTACAAATTTCATGATTCTGTGTATTCTTAACTTCTGCATTTAAGCACTCCCGAATTAATAATTTTGTTACTTTAAAGGTTCAGAAAGAGTTACATATGTATAAAAGGATTTAAAATGCCCAAATCAGTCTCTAACTTTTAAAAAAGTAAAGAAAAATTCTGGTTCAGGGCTGAATTTCTTCAGAATGATTTACTGTTTGGGCCTAATCTTTATACTGTAAACTCCTGATAACTCAACCCCAGCTTAACTTGTCACTACCACTTAAGTCATCATGCTGTCAGTATTCCAGTTGCTTTCACTTATGTATTTATACTGAGCCCTTTTCCCTTGGAGTGGTGAGTTATAAGGTGTTTACTATATCCATATGCTGTTTGTTCTGTACTGATACACAGTTCACAGAATTACTATGATTCATATTGGTTAAAATTGTGAGAAAAGATTTCAACAGGTTACAAATGCAAAGGACCAGAAGATTCCTTAAGCAGCCTTTGAGTTAAAATTGTTTATTCCTGAATGGTTTCTTTACATGTAAATAAACAATAGTCCTTTATGCATTTATATTTTTTGATAAACTGCACACTGAAATGTAAAAAATATGTCTTCTATTTTTCCATTTCATAAGATGGTGTAGGAAAGTATTTCATCAAACATCCTAGGTCAGCTGTTAGACAGACTTGTCCTTTGATATTTGGCAACAATTGTTTCAAAGACTTCATTGAAATGTTTATATCAGGGCCAGTACATGAGTACGGACTTTCTACAATTGCTAGAACATTATACCACTTTTACCGTGTGGTTCCCAGTAAGTAATTCTGAAATCCCAAAAGCTGACACAAGATCCTTTCATGTAACTTTAAACCCGCAGAGACTGCCTTTGGCAAATTATGTTTCACATATATGTACATGAGGAGAAAAACGAAGCAATAAGAAAGAAAAAATTACATTTTCATATAAAATATATCGTAAAGTGTTTTACAGTAATTATAGTCAAGAGTTTTTTTTGCAGACAAATGTGGCAGCCATTTTGCCTGAAGAAAATTCGCACAAACAGCCACGAATGACAAGTTTATCTGAAAGATTGTTGGCTGGGTCACCAGGAGAATCTGTCTCCTGTTTCAAACCGTGACAGGCGATCTTTAAGACCCACCCAAAGAACAGACAGACAGCCTTGTTTAAAAATAATCTCTGCACTAGAGTGTCAGCCTTGACTGCAAACTACAATCCTCAATGTGTCATTTGAACCAACAACCTTTTGACCAAGCTACTATTTGCTAACTAAGTTTGCCGATGTTTGCCAAGTTTGCTCAACTGTTGCAAATATTATATCCCTGTGTACGGGATCCATAAAATACCATACAAATTTACGTAATGACTTTCAGATCAGGAGGATGTCCTAAGGTGCTTAACAAAATTGGCTTAGCATCCGAGCTGGGGGTGGGAGTCAAGGAGGGCGGGAAGGGAAATAATGAATAAAGGTATGATCAAAGTCTTGAGATGGACTCTGAGGTGAGGGAAGGAGCAAGTCTTAGGGACTGGACTCACAGGAACTCAGGAATGGAGTACCAGAGAGTTGGGGCAGAAAGGGCTTCCTGCCGATGGTGGGACAGGAAGGAGGAGGACATGAAGCAGGCTGGTTCTTAAAATCCCAATCTGCACAATATTGAAGGGTGACAGCACATGCACAGTGACCAGCTTACTTCCTGAATGCTGACCAGCTCCTCACTAAAAGAAAAATGCAGCAATTGGGAGATGCTCCCAATGATCTGGAATTCTGCCATATCAGTTTGAAAGTTGGCCTGCACTTAAAGTGAGCAGGCTGAATGGTGTTGATGCTATAGCGGTTATAAACAACTCACACGACAATGAAGTGTGTTATAACGGGGCTGCACTGTGAACAGGGAATGGGCTGATCAAATCAGCGGGATTTGGGAGTTAGATAAACAATACTACAGTTTTGCTGTTTTTTTATACCATTTGTTCTGCCAGTCCATCTGTAAAAGTCTCTTAATTTTTGGATCAATGCTCCAGATATTATTCCAGATGCTCTTTTTCCATTTTGAAGTAAAATATTGACTTTTTTTAGGTTGCAAAGCTTTCTGGAATTTTAGTCGGATTCCCCCAAGCATCCCAACGGTCTTCTGTTCGACGATCATATGGAAGATCAAAACGTTTCAGTATAACGAGATCCTTGGATGATTTGGAGGTAATTATATTTTGTACATTATGTAGAAACTAAACATCTTTTCTAAAGCTAACTCCACACATGTGTATTGCCGCTATGAATGATTGATTCATCTGTTGGTGTTCTTTAAATAATAATAATTCTCACATTTGGTATAACACTTTTCACGGCAAGAGGATATCTCAAAGCTCTTTACAGGATTTCTGCAAAGGGTAGTGATTTTGTATCTATAGGACAATGTAGCAGACAATGTGCGTGCAGCAACGTCCCACAAAAGTCGTGAAGTGAATGATTTGGGGGGTTGTTGGCCAGGACACTGGGAGGAACTCCCTTTTTTCATGAGATACGGTAAAATTTGCCTAAGTCTTATCTTTATAAATCGTATAATCACCTAAATCGTACATCCACCTGAGTCACATTCAGTTTCCTATCAAAGCCTTAGGATTTCTTTGCACTAGTCGTATTTATCACTTCCTAAGCCGTAACATCACTTCCCTATCTTCTGTTACTTCCACACTTATCCGGTTTTGCATTGAAGCGTGGGAAATGACGTCCTGATCCGTCGCCGCACATGAACATACCGGCCGGCTGTATTGAATGCAGGAAATGTAGTCTTGATCTGTTGACGCATGTGCAGAGGAACTTAATTTTTCACGATTCATTGCGATTCCAACTCTTGACGGTAAGTGCACATGCGATGACAGGTCAAGACCCTCTGAATTGCAAGAAACATAGTCTTGACCCATCACCGCATCCTCTTGGCACCTTCCAAGCACCATCTACAGACTTCCCTTCTATGATAAAAAAACCTTGCATTTGATATAGCACCTCATCACGTCATTGAGAAGTCTCAAAGGGCTTCACTGTGAAGTGAAATCACTGTATATTTTGTGGGCGAAATGTGGCAGCCAATTGCACAAGCAGTGTCCCACAAACAGTCAACAACAACAACTTGCATTTATATCGTGCCTCTCATGCAAGGTAGAGTTCCAGAGTGCTTGCCAGTCATGGATTGAGTGACAATATTATCGTAAAAAGAACAATTTTGAATGGATTACTTTCCAATCGACTATCAAGCGGGTTCATAGTTATTGCTAGGTAAGCAGGAGTGTGGAACAAGGAAATTTGCCTTTACAATAGAGAAATATAACTTCTATATATATTACATGTATGTATATGTATATATATATATAATCCTTGCATTTGATATAGTGCCTTATCACAGCTTTGAGACATCTCAAAGCGCTTCACCTAACCAACAGAAAGAACTGATTGTGTCTCTCAGAAAGCATAAACATGAAATATTTAATCTCCTAGCCACAAAAGGAAACTGGCTATGTAGAAACAGTCGCCCTCTGAAGCCTATTCCTGTACTCTCAATCCTAAAGCTCTCCATGAGTTCAAGCACTTTTACCAATGCTTTAGCTTGCCAGACTTATTCCCACTGTTTCACCCTTCACTATGTACAAACCTTACTCATTTGAGGCAATAACTGGTGCTCTCAACCCTGTACACAGCATATAAAGCACACCACTATCAACTCGAGGGAACTTGCCAACTCTTTTATTTGGTCAGCCAGGTGTTTGTGACACATGTGGAAACCCATCGCCAACCTTAAGAGTCTCCAAACCAAGCTGCAGTGGAGCCTGGAATGTCTCACTGGTAGAGTGTTGGTAAAATCTTAGAGTACGGCGAACAAGTACTCTGCGGTTCCGAAAAAGTGAAAAGCAAAAAATGACCTAATTATACCTTGAAAAATGAAGAACAGGGTTAAAAATTACTGTATTCTCTCCCAGCTAAACAGTACTGTGAATATTAATTTAAAACCCCTGTTTTTCCACCACTTCTGTCTGAATGCATTTCCAAGCCATTAAAACTATTTTTAGGATGTTTTTTTGAAAAAGCATCAAATTCTGAAAAGGATACCAACCCAAGGTATTGCCACAACAGTTGTTCATTTAGAGCCATGATTATTTTGCGAACTAAGAGACTCTAGTTTTAAGATTCTTTGAGAGGCCTTCAAAAATGTTCTTGCTTATTTTCCTCAAAATGTTTAATGATATTTTCCTCCAAATCCAATAATAAACTTTTTTTTTCTCCCTCCACTAAATCACTTTTAAATGGTAACACCATGTACAAGCCAGATTTAGAGATTATCAAATAAGTTATAACTTTTGGCAATGAAAAATATAATGCTAGTAATAGTAATTTATATATTGGTAGGACTGGCGGAAACAAGATCTGGCATGAAGGTACTGTGGTTTGCTAATGGTCCTTGTCATGAGTGTGTGTACCTTATGCAAATGTTATCTATGGCAAAACTTTGTTTACCCGCAACCTAATTGCTAAGGCAATTAGCGTCTTAAGATAAGGCAAATTAATAAGGCAAATTAATTCATCTGACATTATACAGACAAAGGTTCTACCTCTGACAATGCAGTACTTCAGACTATGAGCTCAAAATCCGAATGTGGGTCTTCAAACCATACCATTCTGGCTCTGAAGCAATAGGGCTATCACCTGAACAGGCTGACACCTTACTGTGTTGTATATAATCAATAATTGGTTATAATGTGTTGGTTTGGTTTAGAATAAGATTTGTAAATTAAAAATGTATAGGATTGTCTTAAATACAGTTAAACACTAATTGGATTGTTAATTGGATTAGGATTTTATGAAAACGTCACACAATTGGTTAAGGCCAATACATAGTGCTTTAGTTTACATAACCCCCTTCAGCCCCACACTAAGCTAAGTCTGGTAGTAAATGGATATTATAAAATGGTGCAAAAACAGAAGGTCTAATTTTTTTTTGCTTACCCCTTGAGATCAGCAAGGTATTACAGTCTAAAAATAAAAATTCCCCAATGACAGTTTTTTTCTCTCTCTGTTAATGTTTTTCTTTTACTGAGCATGCCTGTGCAGCATTGTTGGGCAGCCTGAGGGCATTGAACATACTGACGCAGTGCCTGGCTGGAGAAATAGTATTTAGTCTGGCTAGAGAGAGAACTCAGAGGGAAGGAACAAGAGCGATAATGGTACTGCACCGAACAGCATTACTATATTTTTTTACTAACATCTTGATAAAGTCAGGCAGTTATATTAATATCAATACTGTCCTAAGGTCTGTGTGCTGCATTCTGTACTAAGGGGTTCTTTTGAAAACTTTACAATTACATGGAGCATACTTTTATTGGCAATCAGGTAAGAAAAATGATTCTACTTTGTAGTGTGCTCCTACTAATGCTAAGAACAGGGCATATAACTGTTGTATGCTTTCAGGGCTTAATGTGAAATAATTTGGTAAAGTACTGTGTAGAGCTCTTTATAGTTATAAACTAATTAGCCTAACTTCATCAAATTATTATTGATTAATTATCGGAACAAACATTATATTAACTGAAAAGAAGCAACACCAAAAAGCAGTGTCTGAGATGCACTTTAATGACAATTTCTAACAGGCTTATTACTTGGTTACCTGAAGCAGTAACTAGTGTTTGACTTTCTTTGATCAATATTACTACACAATGTCTTGTTGAATGTATAAAATGTAGTATTTAACTTGGGTTGCCACTGTGTCCAAAGGATGACATTTGCTAGTTTTTACAAATGTAGCTAACACACAAAAACAATGGTTAAACATGCAGTACTTCAGCGCCTTGGGATGTCTTCCCAATGTGAAAGGTGCTGTATAATGTTGTTGTTGTAAACATGAACGTTGATTAGAACAACACTCGCAGCATTGTAATCAGACAGTAGGGGGAAGTCATGCCTTTCTTTATGAACATCTCAACCAATTTGTAGAAAACGTTTGACTTGCTTTATTCAGTTAGTATTGGATCACCAGTTTGCTAGTTGGAGATCAGCATTACTATTGGTACAGTCAGTCTATCCATTAGTGTATTGAATTATTTGTATATTATCTTCAAATTAAGGTTAGAAATCAAATCTGTTTTTCTTCAGTTACAAAACTGGCATGAAGTATTTCATATACTGTACTGCTAAAAATATCTGGAAAGTTATTTACTTTGTTATGTCATTGCATTTTTTCTACCAACCATAACTGTTGGAAACATACAGGCATTGATGTTTTGATTGCTTTCTTGCTTTGCTCCTACTTCTACGATGTTTCTTGCAGTTTCTATGTAAGATATTACAGAGTGAACTTTTATAGGACGAATGGTATGCACATAACTAGATGAGGAAGTGTATTTTTGGCACAACATAAGTAGTACAGTACAACAATTAGGATTTATTTAAACTAGATTTGGAGGGGGAGGAAGAATGTTTTGGTGGATTAGGCCTGTGGGAGGATTGGAGCACTTCAATTTCAGGCTGAGGGAGAAAAAATAATTAAATTGGGTAACGTGTTATCACAAAGCTGAAGTGATTTTATATCAAAACAAGGAGAATTAGGAATAAACTTTTGAAATTTGAAATGTATGCAGTAATGTAAATCCTGACATAATTACCTTCACATGGTTAAGAATGGTGGGTAACCAAGAAGTTAGCCTAAGAGGCTACAAAATGTTTCAGAAGGATACATCAATGAAGATATGTTGACAAGGTGCATTATCTGTGTATGAGCATGCACAGATGGGTAGCGTAATAACAGCATAACCGATAGCTGAGCAGTCTGAGCTCAATCCACTTCACAGAGCTGTTTGTAAGATTTGACCTTCAATTATCCTTCAAACCCTGCATCTGCTTTACCTCAACTCTGCAACATCACCCACCTCTGCAACTATCTCTCTCTTTGGGCTGCTGAGACCCTCAACCATGCGTTCATTGCCTCCAAGCTCAATTATTCTTCATTACTTCCTGGCTGGACTATTCGAATGCTCTCCTCCCTGATCGCCCCAGCTCCACCAAACACAAATTCAAAATTTTTAATTCAAAACTCCACCACTGGGATACTCACCCACGCAAAACTCCCATTACCCCCATTACAACAGTCCTTGCCAGGATCCACTAAGTTGTTGTTGTAGACATTAGTAATGAGAAAGGCATTAAAATAGTGG